TGTTGGAATCGGTATAAAACATGCTTCGGCATCTTCGGGGGGAAATGGCCAGGAGCTTTTGCGGAATGCTGCCAAAGCCCAAGTGAGGAGGATGTGTACCATGAAGAAAAAGAGAACAGATCTCAACGTACCCCAATGGGTAATTGACGAATACCACAAACGACCTAAGAACGAAACCGCTGCGTTACTCATGAGTTGCAACTTTGACAAGGCCAGGTCAGCTCAGCTCTCTGTACGCATCGTGCCATGTTGCTACTTACATGTTATATATCGTGTACATCAGGTGATCAACTATATGTTGTATATATACATGTCCCCTATGCAGTTGATATGCGTGAACATGCATGAAGGAATCGTATATGTTGATTTCTGTTTGGGGAGGCTCGATTTGTCTCTCAGCTGGAAATCGTCATCAAGAAGAAGTCCACCCAAAAAGTTACCATCGATGAAGAGTGGTTGAGTGAGAGGGAAATGAAGGAAGATTATGGATGGAACCAGTCCAGTCCTTAAAACTTGTGCCAAGACTTTGCTTTGATATTGATGGGTCAAGCTTCGTATAACGCAAATTTGCATATTTATATAATGATCGATGCAGTTTCATTCGCTGATCTCCATTTTGTGTTCTAAGGGTGAGGATTAATGGTGCCAAGAAGGCTTGCATGAGCAAGGAAGCAACTCACGTCAGGAGTTTCATTAGGATTTTCTGTCGGCGTTTTTCTTTCCCAGAGCCAAACAGTTATTCAACAACTTTTATATATATATATGTAGATAATCATGCATGTATATAATATAAGTCCAAAAAATGTCATCATGGATATCATGGATTGAAAGGGCATCAATGATCTATAATCACGTCGTATCCGCAGTCTGCAGGAAGAACGTCTACGACAATGTCGAGGAGTACTACGTGGTGATCAAGGAGAAAGGTTCGAGGGAGGAGATGCAGAGCCAAGAAGAGACCCGAAAAAAAACACTGCACTGGAGGCCCAAAGCCACGTGAACAAAGCAATGTGAAACAACATAATGGTTTGTATGTGCATCAGAAAGGTTCCACGAATCTTTGATTGACAATGAACCGTGCGACCATTCGACTTCATAAACTATATATTGCATACATACAATATATATATATATATAAGCTTCATAAACTTCATAAACCTATATTTTCGACTGAGTAGCTTCCGTGTATATGATTGATGAGCTGCACCCTTGAATCCTCAGGCATCTGAGGAACCAAGCCTGACGTCCGATTTCTCTGGCCTTGCAAAGATGGATGCCAGATTGGCTGCAGATACTGCCAACCCAGCTGGTGGTGGAGGAAATCAGGTTGATGAGGCCTAAAAAGGGTTTTCACATCATTTGAATTACAAACACGGCGTTGATGTTAGTTCATCTTGCTTTTGGACAGTTCATATATAATGCATGTATCTATATATATATTTATATATAAAGAGAAATCATATAAGAAATTTCACATCGAACACGATCATCCAAATTAAACTCATATATATTCGAGATTTGTATGTCTTGTGAGCCTGCGGGTACCAGTCGATTGCCCCGGTCAGATCAAAGAGAAGATGAAAAAGTTCCTGGATTCCATGATCCAAAAGTCAGGAAAGATTAGACAACTCATACGGGAGATCAGCGAAAGCTATACCCAGAGCCAACAAATGCAAAAGCCCTGCCCTCATTCTTTGATGCATTCTTTGATGTGCAATGTTCATACATGGATGGTGCTTCGATGTAATTTGTAATATATATATATATTTATATGCATCAGCAAACCATGTTTGCATGTATACATGGTCATGGGTCTGCCCCGCATGAGGCTGAAAAAGGCTTTGGAGGATCAGGTCCAGAAACTGGATGCCCAGTATGATATTTGCAATGAAGTGATGGCCAACGGAGAAGTCAGTGGGTTCCCGAAAGAGTTACTAGTCTTATGGTTTCGGATGCGTTTTGATATGTTTTGCCTCTGCATGGATGGTCTTTCGTTTGATTAAGTTTTATATAGCTTTGAATTTTGAGTATTTGATATAGATTTCAATTTGTTTCATTCTGATATCCCTAATCTGTGAGGTTCCTACCGAAAGCCACTGCTGCCATGAACACTGCAACCCTGGCGTACGGATCTCATACCTGAATCGCATGCACAAGCTCTACAATGTTTCTTTTTTTGAATTCAAAACAGACCGACAAATATAACTTCAAGGAATCTTTCATATTTTTGAAAATATGCAATTGCAAATGGGAACCATTGAAAGCCCACATCCACGAGTTCTATAGTATACCAGCCGCCCAGGTGCTCAGCCGCCTGTGCTGCTGAAGCAAAGACTCGGTCTGAGCCTCATGGCAAACCGCCACCCTCCAAACACGCGTGCAACCCACCCCTTCACCAGGAGTGCGAAAAAGTATGAGAAGAAGGACGGGCAGGTTCCGGTGAAAGAGGAAAAGGAGAAGGATAAGGAGACGGATGGCAAAAAGCCAAAAAAGGACAAGAAGAACAAAGCAGAAAAAAAACCCAAGGATAACAAGCGCAAACGTGGCCGTGATGGGAATGGAAGCGGATCTGCATCCTCAAAGTTGAAAAAAACCAAGTGAGCTGTTTTCACCGCGAATCTTGTTTGATTCACATGTGGGAGGGATTGCCTGCCAAACAGAAGCAATCCATATATCGCAATCCGGTTACTGTTGGAATGCCAACACTTTCGAACAAACCTGCAGGGAACCTGGTATTCAAATGGTCGATCCAGGCTAGACCCTGCGGGAGAAAGGCCCAACTGTGGTCTGAATCAGTTTTGCTATGGGGTGTCAATTCTCCTATGCAATGTTCAGTTTATGATTTTGACAATTTCGATCAAAGTTGTCAATGCGTCGATTTGGAACATTTGTTGCTTTGGGAAGGTTTGGGAGAGTTTGGCACCAAGAGCAGCTTCGATGTCTTTGGGGCTAAATTTGATCATCGTGAGATATGATTGGACAGAAAAGTGCTGACAATTCTCAGCAGCGAATCCCGACCCTTCTCTTCCCACATCAAAGGGCAACCACTTTCCGCACGTTCATTGGCCAGGTGCTGGAAACGCATTGAAGGCATTCGTCAAAGACATCGGTGATGGAGTCTTTGCCTCAGCCGTGTTCAGACTGCAGCGTCCAAGTCCGATCGGAACCGGTGGGACATGACCAAAAGTTGAAGATAAAATTCATGAGGTTTATTGGCTTCCGAATGACCAGCTGAAAGTTCAAGACCTGAACTCCCAAAATGTAAGGGGCTACTTCGTTGCCATTTAGGCTTTGGGTATACGTGCATATATATGGGCAGGGTTTCACTCCTCATGAATTATATTCTCAAAACAACACTTGATGGACACAACAGTATAAATCATGTTCCAAATGGGCGTACCATAATTGCCTCATATTTTTTGTTCTTTGCAAGTATCTTTCCTTTACAAATTTTTATACTTATATATATAGTCTGATGCCCCACCTGGTGTGTATGCGAGTATTGTCATATACGTTTCTTTCACGATGCTTCAACCCAAAAGCTTCCCAAAAAATATATTCAAAGGTTTATATGCAGCTATACACAGCCAGATGTTAAGAGAGTAAATACCCAATATATATATATACATGCATGCATGTAGTAACATATATATATATGTATATATAGCTATATAAATTTTCTTTATATGTATCATGATATAAATTACTTTACTTCGAGTTATCCCCACCATGACATCTATACTTTTGTTACTGGCAAATCTTCTGGCATTCTATCTGACATATCTTCTGGCATTTTATCTGGCATATCTTCTGGCATTCTATCTGGCATATCTTCTGGCATTCTACGTGGCATATCTTCTGCAATCTGTTCCGGCATATCTTCTGGCACTCTATCTGGCATATCTTCTGGCATATCTTCTGACATTCTATCTGGCATTCTATCTGGCAAATCTTCTGGCATATGTTCTGGCAAACATTCTGGCACTTTATCTGGCATACCTTCTGGCATTCTATCTGACATTCTATCTGGCATACCTTCTGGCATTCTATCTGGCATATCTTCTGGCATTTTATCTGGCATATCTTCTGGCATTCTGTCTGGCATATCTTCTGGCATTCTACCTGGCATACCTTCTGGCATTCTATCTGGCATATCTGCTGGCATATTATCTGGCAAATCTTCTGGGATTCTATCTGGCATATCTTGTGGCATTCTATCTGACATTTTATCTGGCATACCTTTTGGCATACCTTCTGGCATTCTATCTGGCATATCTCATGGCATTTTCTCTGGCATATCTTCTGGCATTCTTTCTGACATTCCATCTGGCATATCTTCTGGCATTCTATCTGGCCGTTGAGGTCCAGCGGTGCACACTGAGCTGGGCAGGTCCCAGGTTGAGGTCCAGCGGTGCACACTGAGCTGGGCAGGTCCCCGGTTGAGGTCCAGCGGTGCACACTGAGCTGGGCAGCTCGCAGGTTGAGGTCCAGCGGTGCACACTGAGCTGGGAAGGTCCCCGGTTGAGGTCCAGCAGTGCGCACTGAGCTTGGCAAGGTTGGCAAGGCGGAAGTGGAGGTGGAAGAGGCGGAGGCGAGGAGGAGGGCGAGGAGGACAGCTAGTCGAGGAGGAGGAGGAGAAGGAGGAGGCGGAGGAGGAGGAAGTGGCGGGCATGCGCCCTGATAAAATCTAACAACCCTCACCTGGCAGGTGGGGAATGAAATATATAGCTATATACAAAAATATGAAATCCATATATCACTATATAGCCTACAGAATGGCACAACACTGTTCGCCGCCTTGCAATGGATGATGAAACTTCTGATGACTGGCTGTTGGATTTACTGACATGCCACCGTTCTGACACCTGACTGCATTTGGTTGGAATGATCTAGTGCCTCCAATGGTCCGGTTAGATGTTCACCGGCTGTCTCCCATCCTCCTGCCCAGGAAGCCGAAGGCCCTTTCCCATGGGCGTTAGATTTGGGGCCGCGCTCATCAGATGCTGACTGCCTGCCGAGGACATGTTGAGCCTTCCATTCCCTTGGCTAAGTGGGTGGCCTCCCTGCCATCCAAACTCCAATCCAACCCGAGCCTCCTCACCATTGCAAGTGAGGCAGCCGCTATGAGTTCATGTTTGGCTTTTGATTTGCCGCCCCCAAATGCTCTTTCTGGGATGGTGCTGCAACATTCCATTTCAGTGATCGAACGAACGTTCCAAAAATGGGATCCTTTGATATTCAAAATTGGCTACACGCACAATCCCTGTTGGCGATGGTCAAACACTTTGTACGGATATGCCCATGCTCGAGAGAAGTGGTCAAACATGATGGTGCTGTATGTTTGTGATCAACCTTTTGGACCAGCGATGCTGGAAGCGGCATTGATTGAGAAATTTTCTAGCATCTGGGCTGATGATTTTTCATGGTTCATGCCGGGTGGTACGCCGTGCAATGGTCAAAGTTAAAACCACACATGCACACAGGTATAGATGCAATCATTACAATCAAACAACATTTTTTAAGAGTATACGCATCCATTTGTCTATATATGTACACACATGTACACGCACACACATTGCGACATTCTATTGACGTGATATACACATGGGTCCATCGCTTCCAGCTGTATACGCAAGGCCAAAGCCTGCAGAACGTATTCACCATTTTTTACAGGTATACACCAGATAAGGTTTCAAATTTATGTATGCAGATGTGACACATGTGTGTATATATATATTGGCAAGTTTTATACTTACCAAAATTTCTCAGGCTGCTGAACCCAAAGGTCCTGCAGTCGAACTGGCGCAGTGCTCACCCACTCCCTTGCTCCCGGGTAAGCGTGGCTGCAAAAACATTCGCTTGGGAGGAGACACTGTGAACACTGACTTAGAAGGTGTTTTTATGTGCTACCTGGTGTACAGATCATTCAAATTCAAACCGCTGTGACATGAAGTGATATATATATATATATATGAGCTGTACCCAAATGTTCGGCATGCGGCGGGTGGCCTTTGTACAAAACATCTTTGGCCATGTATATAGGCGTGTGATTCAAAGTTGAGGGCATGGTAAAAACTGAGAGTTGCAGGGCAGGCTAGGGTTGCCGTGTTGCATTGACCCAAGAATCCGAGTCATGCACTATATATATAGAACAGCTGCATGCATTTGAAGCATTGAAAAGCACTCACTGATGGTGGCGTGTGCCAAAGTGTTCAGACTTCAGTGAACCTTTGCCGGTCCTGAGGCATCGACTTGCCGCTCAGCAATCCGAGCAGCGAAGGCCGTTGTGAGTGACATCGGGGAGGTCAGCGCAGCAAAAAGCAATGGCTTGGTGCGTCTCTCACACTGCTCTGAGAGCCATAGTGAGCGTGATGTGGAGGTGCTTTCACGGCAGTACAAGATCCGCCTGCCTGTGCAAATCTCAGAGCTCAAAAAGAGCCCGGGAGTTCGCTATATGGGCAGTTTCAAAGTGATCAGCCTGCGCAGCTGGATTGAATTTTTGACAAATTTCAATGTTTGGCATGTCATGCTTGGCCTTCACCATCCCGATGAAGCACGCGAGCGTGCAATCCTGACAGAATTTTGGAGGCTATACAAGGCAGCCAACCCACAGCACATGCTGTGGCAGGTTGTAGAAGAGAATTCGGTGGACCTCAGCAAATGCCTTCCGATTCTCTGTCATGGAGATGAAGGGCGTGGCAGGAAGAAGTCGCCCTTTTTAATAACTGCCTATCACAGTTGCCTGGGCTTTGGAACAGACTTAGCCAACAGCACACGTGCCCGTCGTCCATACCTTTCCCTCCGCCTCAATTATTGTGGCAGCACCCACATACATCGGATGCTGACCGGGTGCCTTCCCAAGATGGTCAAGGACGAACAAGCCTTCAAAGACTTGTGTTCGTTTATGGCTGCAGATTGTGTCTCAATGATTGAGCAGGGCGTGGAAAGCAAGCACGGGGGCCGTGTCTGGGCGGCCTGCTTGAACATCGTGGGAGATTGGATGTGGCTGGCCAAGGCGGCCAACTTGGAACGCAGCTTTTCCACGGTACAGAAAAGACCTTGGACCGCTGCCTCGGTCCCAAAAGGGATTTGTCACTGGTGTCACGCCGGAAGGCGAGGCTTTGACTTTGAGGACATGTCCATGAATGCAGCGCACAGGGGAACTATGTTTCTGCAGGGTGATCAGCCATGGAGCACTCGACCAGTGTTCTTGGATATCCCACATGATCCTTCAAAACCTGCTGCGTTCTTCTATTTTGATTTGTGGCATGGCTTCCATTTGGGAATGGGGAAGAGCTTCGTTGCCAGTGTTTTTGCATTGATCAGCGACCGGCTTCCTGGTGGTGCAGTGGATGCGCGGTTCGCTCACTTGACGGACTTGTACCTTCAGTTCTGTGACGAGGAACGGACCGCTCCATACATCACTGCCATTACCACCGCGCTGGTGGGATGGCCTGACCGGAAGACATATCCAAACGGCCAATGGCACAAAGGCCACACAACCACTGCCTTCTGCCATTTCTTGGAGCGATGGTTTGCTGTGAATAACATAGCAGGGGATTTGCTTTTGCGCAAATCTCATGAGGCTACTGTTTGCATCAACCGCTGCTTGCACATGCTCTATGCCAGTGACCTTTGGCTGAAACCTGCCAAGTGTCAAGCCATCGGACAGCTGGGCATGCGCTTCCTCTGCTTGTACCAGGAGCTTGCCAAAATCAGCTACGATCAGAACACATCTTTCTATGGGTACATGCCAAAAAGCCACATACTGCACCACCTATTTGCAGACCTTGTTCAGGCTCAGACAACTTCTATGAATTGTTTGGCCTGGGCTGTCCAGGTGGATGAAGATTATATTGGGAAGAAGAGCAGGTTGGCGAGACGTGTTGCGCCGGCCACTGTGGTGCAACGTGTCATCGAACGCACACTTTCAATCTCATATGCGCACTGGCATGAAGCTGGCTACTTGAAGGGGTAATTCAAGTAGAAAAAGTGCGTGAGTGGTGGTCTGAGGGCAAAGATGGGGGTATGAGGTGCCAGAGTCAGATTTTGCATGTCACAGCGGTTTGTATCCAAATTCAAGAAATCTGAGATTTTGGAAAACCTAGGTTTTTTTCATAAACCTCGGCTTTTTGGTTGGGCCTTCACTTTTCGAAGGGTTTCGGTTCCAATGGTATATATATATATATTAATATATATATAATATATATTAATATATATTCATATATATTAATATATATATATAATATAGTATATAATATATATTCATATATTAAAAAAAAACTATATAGATATATATTCATATATATGAATATATATTCATATATATATTGATATATATATATGAATATTCATATACATATATATATATTAATATCTATGAACCAGGCAGTTACTTCTGCCCTCTAATGGAAGCCACTTAGACCCAAAGTGCCAAACGGTCACTTACAAGATCAATCATGCATAAGTGACCTCTTTTCAAGAATCCTTAAGTGACCTCTTTGCTGCGCGTCACTTGCGTGTCACTAGTGCTTCCAGGTGGGATGAAATGAGGTCACTTAGGACGCTGAGAAGGTCACTTAAGCCTTGAAAAGGTCACTTAAGGATTGGCTGTCTGCGTGTCACCTGCGTGTCATTTGCGTGTCACTGGTAGGTCATTTTTTGGCTCGTTTCCTTTTCTGACCTCTTTCTACGTTTTCCTTAACTGACCTCTTTCCACAGGCCACTTAGCAGAAAACACAAACAAGGTCACAAGGAATCGTCTAGAATATATATATATATATTTATTAATATATGTATGCATGTCTCCTTACGTATATATTTGTATGTATCTGTATATAAATAAATAAATAATATATATATATATATAATTACGCCGAAAAATCATAAAAAAGAACCGCAAGCTATCGAATCGGAACACAACTAGAACCGCAAGCTATCGAATCGAATTTCAAAAAAGAATCCAAATCAAAAATAGAATCGCAAGCTATCGAATTGAAATTAATCAAGAATCCCTTACTAACGAACTTACTCCCTGTAGGAATCGACACGCTACGAATCGAATCGGTATCGGAATCGCGATAAATGGAATCGAAAACCAATTCTCTCGAAATCAATTCCTTATATAATATAAAAAATCGAATCGAAATCGCCAAAAACGAATCGGGACCACCCTGTTGTTTGCCATATAGTCTCCTTCTCACACGCACTTGAGGCATACTGGAAGAACTGGCATTATGCGTTGGAGGCTCATAATGTTCTAATACTGTGACCCACGGCGGGGGCTCGGGCGTTTCATTTGCCTGGGTACACATCGTTTTGCTTAAATTGACACTGCGGTGTAACCAAGGCCAAGTTCTACCACAAGCGGAGCACCAAATCAATCCATAATCGGGTTTGTTTTTGATTTTATCAAGCTTCCGGTGCCAAATTAATACATGGTTGCCAGTATTAAACTTTTGGTTCAAAGTTTTCTCGGCTTCTTCAATGCGTGGTGTGGAGTTGTTAAAACCGGGGGCGGTTAACCACTGTGATGGATCGAGATCCGGGAATCGACATGGTTTATTTAAAATCTTAAGACGTTGGTGCTTCTGGTATTTGGTTTGCTTGCCACATCGGCAACAAAATACTCCGCCGGACGGTATCAGTTTCAAAATATGGCCTCTTTTGATAGTGGGTACAGCTGGAACGGGATTATATAGATGTAGAGGAAGTACTGGGGTCAGGAGGATTACTTGGAACAGTAAAATTGTTAACAGGTGGGGAGTCATCTGAAGGGCCAGTAGTATCATACCATAGACGGATATGCTCTTGCCAAATTTTGATGAGGACGGATTGGATACCAATTAATTACCTGTTTTTCTGAAATTTGAAATTTGCAAATGAACTGGAACTACAGTGGTGAGTTGGAAGCACAACGGTAGACTTTCGAAAGAACAGGGCAGATATTGCCAGATCTCTTGGCGAATCTGCTGCATGCAAGAACATTCCCAGCTGATGTGAAAAATAGTGGGACTGTTACTTCCGCATTTGCATGTTAAAGAGCCTGGACGACGTCTGTGTCTGTGGTCGCGCTCAGGAGTTTGTAAACCGACGCTAATTAAGAGGCGGAGGACTTTTAATTTGGGACGTGGATCAATTTGCGGATCAACAGTGGGGATCTGCTGTGAATCTAGCTGATTTTGAATTTGATCGGATTCTTTTGTCATCTTCTGAAGAAGTGCTGTATAGTGAGCAATCGGTTGACACCTTGTTCAATTCCCCTGTAGTGCTGACCGCGCTCTCTGGCTGTTTTAGACCACATGTGTTGTCGATACTTTTCACGGAGCTGATGCTGCCACTTGTGAGAATCCAATTGATTATTGAGAAAAAGGTGCAGAGTTTGATGATAAACTTCATGGTGATACAGTTGATGTATGCATTGAATAGGACCATCCACTGAAAACATGACATCTGAATCATGGATAAGCTCGAGAATGCGCTGCTTTAGGTAATTATCTTTCAAAGATCGGAAAATCAATTGAATGGCAGCAAGATTTAAAGAAAATTCGGGTTCAATGGAAGGCTTGGCGAGTAAAGTGAAAATAATGGCAGGAGAACAGTCATAGAAAGTGGAATTAAATAGAGAACAAATGACAGTGGCACGTAAATTAGTGGTATTGGCAGGGGTTAGATGAAGCGAATGAGTTCCTTGTCCAATGGTCAACTGAGACATCAAACTATCAATGATGTGTGGACTTTTTGGGGCCAGCTGATGGGAAGATGCCGAACGTTTCCAACGCTACGTTTCCATGTCTCTGCACGAGACTGCTCAAGTTCTGTCCAATTTCGTGTGTCATCGAGTTTGACAGTCCGCCAACAAGTCTAAACTGCTTTTTATGGGTGGGAATACGTCGAAGACAAGAGGCGATGGCTTCATGACCAGAAGTGAAACTTTTGTTGAAATTAAAGGCCATTCCAGCATCTTGGATGAAATCAGCAGTGACCTGATGCATTTTCTTAGTTTGGTCGATCAGAACGGCTTTGGTGCGAGCTTTAGTACACAGAGAAAGGTCATCAGCATATGCTCTAGGTTGTGAGTATGGTACGTAATGGGTGCAGTGTTCAATCCAAGTTGTGATTAGACTGGTCAAAAAAATCATAGATAACGGACAGCCCTGTATGATTCCACTATGGGGACGATATCCCTGAGAGTACGCACCATCAATCCGGAAAAAAAATTGTATCTTGGGAATAAAAACCGGAGAGAGCTTGAATAACCTTAGAGTCGGCACCCCGATGATTAAAGACCTGTATAACCAGATGAGTGGGAATAGTGTCGAAGCATTTTTTTCATATCATAAGATACACCTCCCGCTAAGTGTCCTTGTTGAATATCCAGGGAAATTTGAAAACACGTGTCATAGGCAAGAGCATCCGCGGCTTTGGTCTGCTTCAAACCGTAAGAATTTTGCGACTTCCATTTTGGCAACCAAACGGTGCAGAGCTGGTCATGACGCGTGGCTGCACAAAGGCGATAGATGGCCGACAAAATTGTGAGAGGTCGGTAATCTGTAGGAGCCGGACAGTCATCATTGGTCTTAGGGATAAAGCACACGGCTCCCTTTGGAATCTGCTCAGGCCATTTTCCTGAATTTTCAATCAAGTTCAGAAGCAAAGCCAAATGATCGAAGAGGTCGGGACACCACCGTGCAATCAATTGAAGTTCATATGGTGAGATGGAATCCATACCAGGAGAGGAAGGTCTAGTTTTACCGATTTGCTGCCGTAGTTGCAATCCGGTGAGTGCAGGCAAATCACAAATATCACGCTTCATATTTTCACCGTATAACAGGAAGAAATGCCACATAGATGGTTCACCATTTTTGTGTGTGTGTGTGTCATATATAGTTTTCCAAATTTTGCTTGCAGCTTCAAGTCTTACGTGGGTGTTCGCTGTTTGGGGAAGTGTGCTGGAAGTGGAAAGAAACTGTTTTTGTTTTAGACTTATTTTTCAACCAAAAATATGGTTGGGCAATATGACTCCGCATTTTCACTTTCCATTTTTTGATACGCTGATAATTATCATTACGAAAAAGAAGTTCAAGCGCTTTGTTTAACAAGTCAACTACCTGTTTGGCAGTGTCAGCGGAAGCAGGTCTCTGTAGTAAACTGGAAACTTCGGATTTGTAAGGTTCAGGTAAGTCAGTTAAGTTTGCAGGGATCAAATTCCAAGTTCTGTCACGTCGATAACCAGGATTGGCTAAGGCAACTTCGGTGGCTTGATTACAAGCTTTGAAAATCCGACGTGTCTGCAAAGTGGAGGCATGCGCATTGATTGCAGCAGGGTGTCTTCTTTGGTCTTGGAATTTGATAGAGCCTCTGACTGAGTTTTTGCGGTCAGGCTGTTCCCCTTGCAAAATCGCAATCTGATCGAGTTTACTGTTAAGCTCTTTGAGAAAAATTTCGTAAGCAAGATTCACATCTTTGCTGTTCAAAGCTTGTGTAAAGGTGTGGGTCATATCACAAGAAAGAAGCGAGTCTTGGCTAGAAGGCATCTGCAAGTGAGCATAGCTACATGGTTTGCGAAGGCTCATACGTGTTTGCACAGGGGCTGGTACTCTTAAATGCATTCAGACTTGTGACTGGTCTTTGAAAACCGCTAGTTTTTTGACTTGGAAATTAAAGATTAGATCGAATAGGGAAGGAGACACAAAAATGTGGTCAATGGTGGATCCTTTGGAAGGGCCTACGTGACACGTTGTGGCGGAATACATGACTGCATCTGCTACATTACGTGTGTCACACCAAGTACGATTTCTTAAAGATGTAGAGAGTTTCGTACATTCGGAAATAGACATATTAAAGTCCCCTAAAACGATAGCCGGAATTTGGCCACGAGCAATGCTATCCTCGGTGATTGCATCAAACAGCTCGTTGAGTTGCTTACGCTTTGCTGTTTCCCATCTGGACCCAGACGGTGCATACAAATTATACCCG